TGAAAGTTGAGAGGTGAGAGGTTGTTTGAGAGGCCAGAGGTTGAGAAATGAGAGGTTGTTTGAGAGGTGAGAGGTTGTTTGAGAGGTGAGAGGTTGTTTGAGAGGTGAGAGGTTGTTTGAGAGGTAAGAGGCTGTTTGAGACGTGGGAGGTTGAGAGGTGAAAAGTGGAAACTCGGTGACTGTTGGAAGTTAAAGGCACAGATGAGCTACAGGGATTGTGGCATGCAAAGAGTACATAACCTTTATTCGGCGCATGTACACACCCTCGTTTACAGGCTATCTCCCCCAACCAGCGAACCAGGGAACTGAGGGTTGACGATGGGGCCCCGTCGTTCAACCAGTACCCAGGTTCCAGCCAATAAGATGGTTTTGGCAATCGCAGAGGTTATGTGGATACCACTCTCCTGTCTGCCCTTGTTATTCCCATTCTAGAGCTGGTTGAAGCACGGTCTGCTCTCTAGTGGCTTCTGTTCTGCCTTGCTTACCGTGGAGTGCAATAATACCTATCGCTGTACATAGTGTATATAGTGTACATACTTCTGTTCTAAATTGGTGAAGGATAATACAAGTCAAAAAAATTCTGCTGTGTTTATTTTGCTCCCTTTACATCCAGGATAACAGGCCATTTGGACTCCTGGGTTGTAATAGGGATGTTAGGAAGTATTTCTTCAGCCTCAGAGTGGTCGGGAAGTGGAATGATCTTGGTGAGGGAAGTGGTGGAGTCAGGCTCCAAACATAATTTTTAAGAGTAAGTACGACAGGGCCCACGACGCTAAGAGGGAGTGAAGAGGTAAGTTAAGAGGCAAGGCCTGGAACTGAGAATCAACCCCTGCATCCATACACAGGCGAGTACACAAATAGGTGACCCACACACGTAGGTCACGAGAGAGGGATCAGAGGTACTGGTTGTGCCTCTAGCAACAACCTTCAACACGTCCAACTGCAAGAGGTGCGGGAGTCGGCAAATGTCTCATTTTTCAAGAAAGAGGACAGACAGGTCCCGTTAAACTACAAAAGTGTCACTGACATGCATAATGCAAAAATTATTGGTAAGATTATCAAGAGAAGAATGATGGAGCACCTAGAAAGAAGTGGGCTCATACACAACTAGCACGGCTTAAGGGACGGTAAATTCTGTTTCACAAACCTAATGGAGCTCTACGACAAGGTAACAGAAGTCAGACTGGAGAGAGAGGGATGGGTAGATCGCATCTACCCATCCCTCTCGGGGGACAACAGGAGAACAGCAGGAACAGGAGAAAACACTACAATAGATCAAAGCCTACCTGACAAGAAGGAAACTGAAATGGAACGATCTGGAAAATGAAGTGGTAGAGGAAGGATCTATACATAGGTGGAGAGGGAACCTTGCAGCGACCAGCGAAGAGGTGGGCCCAGGAGCTGAGACTTTACCTCTACAATCATATATAGGTGAGTACACACACATGCTCCAGACATAGTTTTAAGAGTAGGTACGATAGGACCCATGAGGCTAGAAGGGAGTGAATCTGGCAAGCTGAAGGGAGGGGCCATGAGGTAGGACTCAACCCCTGCACCCACATATAGATGAGTACACATGCAAACACTTTTGGGCTGGGTATTATTGTTTGGAGCAGTTAACAATGTAGTGGGAAAGGAAGGTATCTACAGAGACGAAGCCACGACTAAGATTCATACAAGAAAAGTTGTGTATAAAGGATTCAACCAGACGGCGCCTTTTTCTCCTGTTAAAATTAAAAATTAAAAATTAAAATTCTTTATTTCTCTGTTAATATTATAATGTGGGGTTTACATATTGTAAGATATTATTACATATTATAAAATACTTATTACAAAGAAGGCACAGATATACACAAATTATTAGAAAAGGGATCAGAGTTAAACTTTTAAGGATTCCCTCTCACATTGGCCTCCAGGAGTATGACAAATTTGATGAATTAGCTAAATAACATTAAATAAGGAGGATGACGAATATAATTTGAGTTTCTCAAACAGAAGTTTAAGTTTAAGTTTCTAGTTTGAGCTAGAACAGTACTGACAGGAACTAACACATCAATTGTCCATCATAATGAAATGTGTCAGGCTGAAAATATCTATAGAATAAGTTATAGAAGATTTCAGGATGTTGATACTGCTAGGCTTAGGTTAAGCTATAAGTATCTTTGGCATTCCGGTTTATATAGATACCAATGTAATGCGTGGGCAGAAGCGGCCATATACTGGTACACTGTACCTAACCTGTCAGACACCTCCATGCAGACCTTACACGATATGACAATGCACTTCATTGTCAATAATATGATATCTGAAATCTTTAGATTGTATCCATATTTTGCGTCGAATTGATGACTGAATTGATTTTCAAGAGACTACCTGGAGTTTACCTGGAGAGAGTTTCGGGGTTCAACGCCCCCGCGGCCCGGTCTGTGACCAGGCCTCCTGGTGGATCAGCCCCTGATCAACCAGGCTGTTGCTGCTGGCTGCACGCAAACCAACGTACGAGCCACAGCCCGGCTGATCAGGAACTGACTTTAGGTGCTTGTCCAGTGCCAGCTTGAAGACTGCCAGGGGTCTGTTGGTAATCCCCCTTATGTGTGCTGGGAGGCAGTTGAACAGTCTCGGGCCCCTGACACTTATTGTATGGTCTCTTAACGTGCTAGTGACACCCCTGCTTTTCATTGGGGGATGGTGCATCGTCTGCCAAGTCTTTTGCTTTCGTAGTGAGTGATTTTCGTGTGCAAGTTCGGTACTAGTCCCTCTAGGATTTTCCAGGTGTATATAATCATGTATCTCTCCCTCCTGCATTCCAGGGAATACAGGTTTAGAAACCTCAAGCGCTCCCAGTAATTGAGGTGTTTTATCTCCGTTATGCGCGCCGTGAAAGTTCTCTGTACATTTCCTAGGTCAGCAATTTCACCTGCCTTGAAAGGTGCTGTTAGAGTGCAGCAATATTCCAGCCTAGATAGAACAAGTGACCTGAAGAGTGTCATCATGGGCTTGGCCTCCCTAGTTTTGAAGGTTCTCATTATCCATCCTGTCATTTTTCTAGCAGATGCGATTGATACAATGTTATGGTCCTTGAAGGTGAGATCCTCCGACATAATCACTCCCAGGTCTTTGACGTTGTTTCGCTCTATTTTGTGGCCAGAATTTGTTTTGTACTCTGATGAAGATTTAATTTCCTCATGTTTACCATATCTGAGTAATTGAAATTTCTCATCGTTGAACTTCATATTGTTTTCTGCAGCCCACTGAAAGATTTGGTTGATGTCCGCCTGGAGCCTTGCAGTGTCTGCAATGGAAGACACTGTCATGCAGATTCGGGTGTCATCTGCAAAGGAAGACACGGTGCTGTGGCTGACATCCTTGTCTATATCGGATATGAGGATGAGGAACAAGATGGGAGCTAGTACTGTGCCTTGTGGAACAGAGCTTTTCACCGTAGCTGCCTCGGACTTTACTCTGTTGACGACTACTCTCTGTGTTCTGTTAGTGAGGAAATTATAGATCCATCGACCGACTTTTCCTGTTATTCCTTTAGCACGCATTTTGTGCGCTATTACGCCATGGTCACACTTGTCGAAGGCTTTTGCAAAGTCTGTATATATTACATCTGCATTCTTTTTGTCTTCTAGTGCATTTAGGACCTTGTCGTAGTGATCCAATAGTTGAGACAGACGGGGAGCGACCTGTTCAAAACCCCATGTTGCCCTGGGTTGTGTAACTGATGGGTTTCTAGATGGGTGGTGATCTTGCTTCTTAGGACCCTTTCAAAGATTTTTATGATATGGGATGTTAGTGCTATTGGTCTGTAGTTCTTTGCTATTGCTTTACTGCCCCCTTTGTGGAGTGGGGCTATGTCTGTTGTTTTTAGTAACTGAGGGACGACCCCCGTGTCCATGCTCCCTCTCCATAGGATGGAAAAGGCTCGTGATAGGGGCTTCTTGCAGTTCTTGATGAACACAGAGTTCCATGAGTCTGGCCCTGGGGCAGAGTGCATGGGCATGTCATTTATCGCCTGTTCGAAGTCATTTGGCGTCAGGATAACATCGGATAGGCTTGTGTTAATCAAATTTTGTGGCTCTCTCATAAAAAATTCATTTTGATCTTCGACTCTCAGTCTGGTTAGCGGCTTGCTAAAAACTGAGTCATATTGGGACTTGAGTAGCTCACTCATTTCCTTGCTGTCATCTGTGTAGGACCCATCTTGTTTAAGTAGGGGCCCAATACTGGACGTTGTTCTCGATTTTGTTCTAAACCCAATATTGACTATTTTTTTTAGCGGTATTAGGATATTTTTTTAATCTTCATACTGTATTGTGTACATTATTTAAACGAAGAAAATGCAATAAATAAATTGACTGTAGTATAGTTTATTGTGATGTAACTATGTTCAGTGTTGTCCAATAAGACCCTTTGTGACCTTTGTAATAGTCTTCTGTGATACCACTGACATCATAAACTGCTCCGGGTACACAGTTAACAGCCGCTCAGGCGGTATAATTAATTAAAGCCCGTGGCCTGGTGGTAAAAGTTCTAGCTTCACACGCTGAGGGTACCGACCGGGTTCGATTCCCGGCAAAGGTAGAAACACTGGGCGTGTTTCCTTACACTGGTTGTCCATGTTCACCCATTAGTAAAATGTGTACCTGGGTGTTAGTTTACTGGTGTGGGTCGCATCCTGGGACAAAACTGACCTAATTTGCCTGAAATGCTCAGCATAACAAGCGGCTTTCTATATAGTAGTATGTCATTGATGTCAGCTAGGACTGTGTACCTTGTACATGTACTTGTAGTAAATGAAGATATTATATTAATATACTCTAAGATACATTGTTCCAGTGTATGGCCCTGACTTTGTCTACTCAATTTGCATTTAATATCTGGACACACAAAAGGGCGCAGAATCATTCTTCAACTCCATTTTTTTTTAGGTTTCTATGACATAGGAGAGGCCGGTTACTCACTCAGAGAGAGTAAAGTTATCCGGCTTTACCAGAATTTAGACGAAAGATCCACCCAACCTAATTGAAAACAATTGTTCCCGTATTTATTTTCATGAGAACTACTTTACCTTTGCAATTAACACCCAGATTTAAGCAATATTTGATTCCCATAAAGATGAGTCAATACAACGTTGGTTGAGGTGGCCCTATAACCCACAACAATAACAAGGTGTTGTGCATGTTGTTGCTGACAATCATGAATTCTGCAACATCTTTTTCAGACAGTTCTTGTCAGATTGGTAATTTACTCTCAGGATCATGGGAACTCACTCAGGTATGTTGTAAATATAAAAAAAGTCTCAGTAAACTCACACATTGTATATTAAAATTACACGACGCTAAGTGGAAAGGACCCCAGTGGAAATTTGTTTATTTATTTAATTTATTATTTATTTATTATTTGGACATGATACATAGTTGTACAAAAGAATACAGTGGTTGAGTGTACATGGCAAAAGTCCCTTGTATGCAGAGCATTATGGTCAGGCTTAAAATTAACTTAAGATTAACTAAGCAATGATATATTCAGTGGTAAAAATTACAATAAACAAATTACAACATGAAGTACAAATGAATATTTCAAATAAGAGACATTATAGTTGTACAAATTTGTAGCATATTTGATGAGTTACTGAGCATTCAGTAGAATGGTAATGTAATTACAAAAAACATAGTTTGAGATACAGTTAATCAGTATTTATTTAGTTGTGGGTGAGTAAGTGGTTTTTGAGAAGACTTGAATTTATAAACAGGTAGTGTTTCTTTTATATTCACAGGTAATGAATTCCAGATTTTAGGGCCTTTTATGTGCATTGAGTTTTTGCATAGTGTGAGATGGACACGAGGAACATTAAAGAGTGATCTGTGCCTTGTGTTATGGTCATGTGTTCTGTTGAGGTTGGTAAGGAGATGTTTGAGGGGAGGGTTTATGTCAGAGTTAAGTGTTCTATGTATGTAATAGGTGCAGTAATAAGTATGGATGTTTTGTATGGTGAGTAGGTTTAGAGTTTTGAATATTGGTGAAGTGTGCTGCCTGTAGTGGGAATTTATCATTCTGACTGCAGCCTTTTGTTGGGTGATTAATGGTCTGAGATGGTTAATTGTTGTTGAGCCCCATGCACAAATTCAAAATAAGTCACTTTGACATTTTTTGGGGTTATTCTTGGTAATCTGCACTATATGATAATTGTACTTAGTGTACCTGTGCCTAAATAAACTTAAGGGAAAAAATGCCAGTGTTTTGACTTATTACTCTTATATCTTCAGGAGATAAATATGCAAGTCGAGAACAAGTAGTTAGTGTTACTAATTTTCAACACCTCAAAGGGGTTTCTTGATGCTGGTAGAGGGCTCTTGAATTCTAGGGAAATTGGATCTGTTTCCAGTTTGGTGCATAAGCGTTTTGAAAACCTTCATTCCCCCTATCCCACAGGTGGCTGTTATATTCCTATGGGTTTTAGTGCTTCCCATTATAATAATTATATTTTGCAAGCAGTGGCACGCGGACTTTAAAATTTTGCTGGTTTTAGTGTTCTCCATGATTTGTAAGGTATGTTGAAGTATGTCAGGAAGATAAGATTTCTTGGAATTTGTTAAGTCCTGGATGTATGGTTAACTCCAGGATAGACTAAAAAAGGTCTGTCAATTAGGACTGTCATTCTTATTTCTTGGTGGTGTCTTGTTAATTCTTGTTGTCCATTAATAGTACTTTAATTTGTTCCATTTGTGGTTCGCATTATATATTGTTCCATTGTGTACTCTGCCTAATCTTGATTCCATTGTTGTACTTTAATCGTTGATTCCTTGTGAGTAATTATAATCAGTGTTCCATGTGGTTACTTTTAATCTTTGTTCCTGGTGGGCTCTTAATGATTGTTCCATTTGTAGGATACTTTAATCTGTTCCCATAGGTGGTACTTTAAGTTCGTGTTCCCATTTGAATACTATTAATCATGTTCCATTGTGGTCCTTTAATCTTGTTCCTTGTGGTACTTTAATTTGTTCCATTGTGAGTCCATATAATCTTTCCAATTTGGTAACTTTAATCCTTGTTCATTGGGTCCTTATCTTATTTCCATTGTGGTCCTTTAATCGTGTTCCATTGTGGTACTTTAATCGTGTTCCATTGTGGTACTTTAATCGTGTTCCATTGTGGTACTTTAATCGTTGTTCCATTGTGGTACTTTAATCGTGTTCCATTGTGGTACTTTAATCGTGTTCCATTGTGGTACTTTAATCGTGTTCCATTGTGGTACTTTAATCGTGTTCCATTGTGGTACTTTAATAGTGTTCCATTGTGGTACTTTAATCGTGTTCCATTGTGGTACTTTAATCGTGTTCCATTGTGGTACTTTAATCGTGTTCCATTGTGGTACTTTAATCGTGTTCCATTGTGGCACTTTAATCTTGTTCCATTGTGGTACTTTAATCGTGTTCCATTGTGGTACTTTAATCTTGTTCCATTGTGGTACTTTAATCGTGTTCCATTGTGGTACTTTAATCTTGTTCCATTGTGGTACTTTAATAGTGTTCCATTGTGGTACTTTAATCGTGTTCCATTGTGGTACTTTAATCGTGTTCCATTGTGGTACTTTAATCTTGTTCCATTGTAGTCCTTTAATCTTGACAGTGAGGTAGTAAACAATTTATAAGTTAGGTACAGTTAGGTATTACTATATTACTTTCTTAATTAAACAATAATGTAATGTCTTGTTAATTATTACTATACAGCTGTACTATTTTAATAAAACAATAGTTTATGATTATTGCTATAAGACTCAGGTTACTAAAACTTACTATATTTGTTCAGTTTCCTTTTTAAAGTAGGCACATTCTAATTACCCAGTATGCAAATAACCCTCACTTTTTCTACTACTGTACTACTTACTACATATTGTACTACTATACTACTACTACTACTATACTACTACTGTACTACTGTACTACTACTGTACTACTATACTACTACTATACTACTGTACTACTATACTACTACTATACTACTACTACTATACTAATACTATACTACTACTGTACTATACTATACTACTACTACTACTAACTATACTACTATACTACTACTATACTACTTAACAACTACTACAACTACTACTACTACTACTACTACTACTATACACTTACTATACTTATACTACTATACATACTACTATACATACTACTATACTACTATACTACTACTACTACTTATATACTACTATACTATACTACTACTACTATACTACTACTACTACTTACTACTACTTACTACTACTACTATTACTACTACTATACTACTACTACTACTATACTATACTCTTACTATTACTACTACTACACTACTATTACTATACTCACTACTACTATAATACTACTATAGACTACTATTACTACTACTAACTACTATTACTATTACTACTACTATACTATACTACTACTATACTACTATAAACTACTACTACTACTATACTATTTCTTACTACTACTACTATTACTATTTTCTACTACTCTTACTTACTTCCCCCCAACTCTACCACTACCTAATACTTTATTCTTATCTCATTAGATTCAATCCATGTAACTCCCTCACCTTATATTACTGGTGTGATTTGTATAATGTCCAAGTATGATTGAAATGCCTTCTTGTAATCTTTCTCTCTTATATTATGGTTATTTGTGTATTGTTCAGTCAAGATATTGTGCCTTTTTTTCTTTCACTTTAAGTTATTATAGCTATATTTATGCAGATTATCCTTCGAAGGTATCAATACTTATAGATGTTTACTATGATCTGTTCTTTTAAAAACATTTTTGAGAACCTAAGTTTCCGAAGGTATAAGATTCGGTTTGTGTAGACTTTGGGCAGATGATGCGAGCCAAAATATTAAAAAAACGCGGAAGCCTTCATTACTGACTATACATCACACACAACCCAACAGAGGGCTAATAAGTGAGTTTGTTCAGCTGTTTTAATATACTTATTGATCAAGCTGAAACTTAAAATTAAAGGGAACATCTTAATTAAAAGACTAATCAACAGAAGGGGGTTTCTAGATTAATTTGCAGTAATTATTACTTACTGTTTCTGAGGAGAGATGAGGGTAAGACTTTCATGATTGATAATGGTGAAATTGGAAATGAAAATGTTATTCCTTGCAAAGCTTACAATAGTGGGTTTACATATTATAAAATATAATTACAAGGAAATGCCATACATGCTAGGCATTTTGGGCAGATATTCCTAATTCTTACTCTGTAATTGATCAGGTTATGTTAGTATCATTTTAATTATACGTTTTGTATACTGTGTGAAAGTTAGGTAATTGAAGTGATTATCATTAATTGATTGGAATAGTGGGGTTAGATACAAAAACATAAACAGATTATTAGTTATAATGGGAATGGTTTATCTCTACATGCATACACATTAAAAGTTGATTATGGTAGTCCGGCAATATTGGCTACTAAGATAATTACAAAAATATATAGTATTGATTTATAGTTAGAGTTTTGGGCGAGTATAATTTTGCAAGATATTAAATATTAGAGAAAGTTCTATTTGCTTTGGATTTACGATATTCAAAAAAAAGTATATAATAGTTCGATAAAATGAGGACATCTAAAACTCTTTATTTGCCCACATAACATTGGTAAGTGCCAGTACCGATAAAACTTTGTACAATGTAAAATAATTATACGTGTTATGTTTTGTAATAAATTAGAGCTTTTGTCACGCTAATTATTTTGTCCAAAATTATTGAAATCTATTAATAAGAGGTTTTACTGTACAGCCTCTCCTCACTTAACGATGGAGTTCCATTCCTAAGACCACATAGATAAACAAATTCATCGCTAAGTGAGGAGCATACTATAATGGTAGTGAGTTTGTGTCAGCCATCTTTGATATTGTTTAAGTGTCACCTTTGTACCATTTATAATATTTCTGGTATATTCTTAAATGTTTATACAGTAGTGTACTGTATATTGTAATAAACAAAATAGAGGAAATCAGCTCTAATATACATTATTTAGGTATGCATACTGGTCAGAGATCCCATCATAAGTGCAAGGTGTCGGTAAATAAGTACGTCAGTAAGTGAGGAGTCTGTTTATATATCTATTTTTTTTTATCTTGTGTTAGAAATATTCGTATGAATTAACGTGACATTCAGTCTTTTAATTCTGAACTAAAATCAACCTAACAATACTTATCAGCATTGATTTGCAGTCATACTCCTGGTAAATATTCAAACGTGAATTATTTAAAATAATTTTTTTCTTAGCTTTTTTAACAAATTCATTACTTTGTGCATGTTCATTATATGTATGTACTGAGCACATAGACCATATATTTTTTGTTAAAGATTGGTCAAGAAATATAGATTAATATTTAAATATTTTTTCCTTGGTTAGTTTTTACCATGTGAATTCATACTTTGTGAATGTTTATTTTTTACATGTATAGAAAGCTCACATTTGTTTCAAAAAGACTGTCAAGAACCATAGGTTTAATATTTACAATTTTCTTAAGGCTTAATTATAGATACAGTGGAACCTCAAATTTCGAACGTTTCACTTATCGAACATTTCAAAAATAGAACCCTTTTTTTGAACCAATTTTGTCCCTATTATCGAACGCGCCCCTATTTTCGGACTGCCGGGTACCGGACCTGTCTGCCAGCCCGCTCTGTCCGCATTCCTGCGCAGGCGCAGTGAGCCAGTCTGGCTTTGTTGATGCTTGAGTGAACACTAACCTGCACTCTCATTCAAACATTTTACAATTATTTCATTGTGTTTAGTGCTTGTCGGACTGTGAAATAAGCTACCATGGGCCCAAAGAAACTTCCTAGTGGTACTCCTGTGGTAAAGAAAGTGAGAAACACCATAGATGTGAAGAAGGAAATAATACAGAAGTATGAGAGTGATGTGAGACTGGCAAAGAAAGAACAAATCAGGGAAGCTGATGTTGTGAAAGGTGTTAATGTGCTAACCAAAAAAAAGACCGCAAATAGTTGAAGAGGTTGAGAAGTTGTTGCTGGTGTGGATCAAGGATAAAGAGATGGCAGGTGATAGTGTTTCAGAGATGATTATTTGCGAAAAGGCAAGGAAGTTGCATGCCGATCTGGTACAGAAAACTCCTGGAACCAATTCATTGACAGAATCATGTCCTATTTTAGGGAAATGTTAAATAGGCACCAGAAACAGAGGACTGTGGACAGTTATTTTGTGAGACAGGGATCCAGTAACTCAAGCTGGTCCTAGTGGCATTAAAAGACAGAGAAGGGAAGTAACCCCAGAGAGGGCTTTACCTGAAGTCCTCATGGAGGGGGATTCCCCTTCCAAACACTAACCCCAACTCCCTCTCTCCTCCTCCCTATCTTCCAGATGCCATCACCAATCTTCAATAAATGTAAGTAAAAATGTTATTTTATATTTATATACATAATTGAACACTATAGTATTTGTTGTGTGTATGTAAAACTGTAATTAATCTATTTTTTTGTGAATTTTTTGGGTTTCTGGAATGGATTAATTGTATTTCCATTATTTCTTGTGGGAAATATTGCTTCGATTTTCAGACTTTTCGAATTTAGAGCTAGCTCCTGGAACGGATTAAGTTCGATATTTGAGGTCTCGCTGTATTATTTTTTCCTTGGTTAGTTTTTACCATATTCATTCATACTGTATGTATATTATTTTTGTGTATATATGTATGTATAGGGAACTCACATTTGTTTGGTAGAGACTGGTCATGAACCATAGAGTAAATATTTATTTTGTATGAAGACTGTTCAAGAACCATAGACTCAGTATTTACATTGTTTGGAGAGATCGGTTATGAACCATAGATTTAATATTTGTCATTTGGTTGGGCTGTGGTACCCTCCTAGTTTCTCTCAAATCTCTTTGCTAGATTTTTTTTTTTTAATATCACTACAGTATTAATCAGATTAGAGCAATATTTAAAGAGATACATCATCCAAAACACAGATAGAACATAATGGTATTTGTGAGTTCCAGAATTGTGAGGACCTTTGGGAAGCTAACCTTCACGAATTTATGTATATATGTATGCAAACTGTAATTAAACATAACAGTTGTGAATCCCAACTGTCTTTATATTATTTTCTTTTAGGTGGCCTTGGGAGAAGCCTCACCAAGTAGTCTGTTTGAGGGCTTCTTTAACCATATTGTAAGCAAGCCCAGTTACTGTATTGCATTTTGTAGTGAAGATTGGCTAAGCAAGCCAGATGTGTTTAATATCAAGGAGGAGAAGGGTAAGAAATTAAAAATTTAGTTATAGTATCTACGATATTGACTTGCTTGGTAAAAACTGTTTGAAAACTACACAGAAATAGTATTTTTGGTATTTTTTATTTAATTTCTTTTACAGGAAATTTGACGCTTCTTGAGTATATAAGTGGGTCCCTTCCACCTACTTGTGAACTTGGGCTAGTGTCTGCCACAGGAGTAATAGGAACTGTTGAAAACAACTTTCAAGGCCATTGGCTTGAGTCAGCCAGCAATATGAATCAAGAAATATTATCCTATCTCTGTAGTAAAGAAAAAGAAAAAAAAAAGCTTAATAAATGGTGTAAGAGATCAAATAATTCAGAGGAAATAGAGGGCAAAGAGGAAGAAGAAAATTTGCAAAATAAGATATCCCAAAACACCTTGTCTCAAAATGCATCAAAAAGTACATCATCACAGAGCACTTCATCCCAAAGTGCATCATCACATAATGTATCACAAAATACAATATCACAAAGTAGTTCATGCAGTTCATCATCAGGTGATGCAGTCACTGCCATGAAAAACAGTGACATTGTTAAACGGTCTAGTGTTGGATACAGCATTGAGGTAGAAGGGAATAATACATCACATCGGCAAGCAGATGCTGTTTCTCTGTTGCTTATTCCACACCATCCTGGAGTTCAGCTGAAATTCTTCAAACTTTGTGAGGAGACATTCTTCAAGGATTATGTAAGTATTTTTATATTGTATTAGACTGCATGTTTATATTAGTAATATAGCAAGAGAAGCACCTGTGCAGTTTAACCCTTTGAGGGTCCAGAGGACAGTTCTCAGAGTGACAGTCAGGGTCCAAGAATTAAAAAAAAAAAAAAATTATTTTTGTCTTGTGAAATGGTAGAGAATCTTTTTCTGATGGTAATAAACAAAAAGTACAAAATTTGATGGAAAATTGACGAAATTACACTTGCGAATTTTGCTGCATCAGCGATATTTACGCATTGGCAATTTTGCTGACTTTGACACTCATTTTAGGCCAGTTACACTATTCCAGTTGACCAAATGCTTAGCTTTTTCGCTAGTATTACTTCTATTTTATCGACTGAGCATGAAATCGCCCAGTCAGCTTTCAGCTACCCAATAAAGTGATCAGAAATTGATAATTTGGCCAATTTAATGTCAGAAATAGTTTGTAGACCACTGCACTGTTATAATAACTTATGAGTGCCCCAACTTACGAGTTTTCTGAGTTACGAGCCATTGCTCGGTCAGTTTTTTGCTTTGAGTTGCGAGCCAGAATCTGAGTTTTGAGCGAGCTTCGGATATACAGCCACTAGTTGGCGCAGCAAACGCCATAACATCTTTCCAGCATCTGGCGTCTCACTTGTTCACTGCACTGGTTACCTCGCCGTGGAAGCATCTCTCTTGTGTTGTGTCTGCGTTTTGTGCTTTTTGTGCAGCTGTTTTGCCAAATTTCTTTTTTCTAACCATAGGTCCTAAGAAAGTACGTAAGTGCAAAGGACAGTGCTGAAGAAGAAGAGGATGATGTCCACTGAATTAAAGCATTAAATCATAGAAAAACACAAGTGAGGTGTGTGTAGTTGACTTGGCAAGGCAGTACGAGCATAGTACAGTACTGTACTAGCAGACCCCAGGCACTCCAATAGACGAGGCATCGTGAAAGTGAAGTGAAAAAAAAAATTGTAGCAATTAAGTTCAGTGATAAAGTGTAGCATTAAGAGTGTAGCAAGTAAGTTAAGTGATTAAGCGATAGAGTTTATGATGAACGAAAGCCACCGAAACAGCACGAAACAAAATTATATCCAATCTCCTCTGCCTATCTTTTCCACCCTCTATTTCCACCAGCATCTTCCGTTACCCCAAGTCTTCTGATCTCCAAGGTAAATACACTTTATAAAACCAGTTTATTTCTTTACATTCTCTTTTATTGTGTTATGTATTTATACAATATTTCTTATTTATAAATACATTTTTCTTATTTAAAAACCCATAACAAAAAAATTGGGGCTGGAATGGATTACTGGCATTTCAGTTAATTTCAATGAGGAAAATTGATTTGATATACGAGCAAATTGAGTTACGAGCTTGGTCACGGAACGAATTAAACTCGTAAGTCAAGGTGCCACTGTACATATATAAAAAACAAATGAGTAACCATTTTTATTTCATGGAAAATTATTCCTTTAATTTTACTTTTAACAGAACTTGATGAGACTGAATATTTAGATGAATTATTTTTTGTCCCTCAAATGACTCTGGAAATGGAAAGGTGGTAAAAAAAAGTCAGAAGAGGAAAAATGTATTTTTTGAAAGAAAAGTGGATTTTTCTCAGGTGTTTTATGGTTATCATGTCCCATTTTTTACATAGTTCACTTTTAGAAGATTTCCAGTTCAGCAGTTCATTTCCAGTTTTCTTATTAATAATATTTATTTCAGCGTAAAGATGAAGATGCAAGTTGTGACAACCTTACCATCACTGGTAGTGAGTTCAACCAAATGACATCTGTGTCACAGGATGACCGAGTCAAAGCCTTACTCATATTTGATGTTGGCCTTGATGAAGGCTTCACAGAAGCTTTCATTCATTCAGCTCTGCTCAGGTGAGTTTTTTTTTGTGAAGAGATACTGTATTTTTATTCACTAAAATTTAGATGCATACAGGATTTACATTACCATAGAGTAAAAGCACTGCATACAGAAAAGTATCTAGAAAGCTAAGAATGTGCATGCTAACCTCCAGTAAAGAATATGGGTGACCTCTGAATTATGCCTCTCCAGTATTTATGACCATTTTTTTCTGGAGGATCAGCCCCTAAAAATTTGGATATTTTTTTTTTTTTTTTTTTTTCAACAAGTCGGCCGTCTCCCACCGAGGCAGGGTGACCCAAAAAAGAAAGAAAATCCCCAAAAAGAAAATACTTTCATCATCATTCAACACTTTCACCACACTCGCACATTATCACTGTTTTTGCAGAGGTGCTCAGAATACAACAGTCTAGAAGCATACACATATAAAGATACACAACATATCCCTCCAAACTGCCAATATCCCAAACCCCTCCTTTAAAGTGCAGGCATTGTACTTCCCATTTCCAGGACTCAAGTCCGACTATATGAAAATAACCGGTTTCCCTGAATCCCTTCACTAAATATTACCCTGCTCACACTCCAACAGATCGTCAGGTCCCAAGTACCATTCGTCTCCATTCACTCCTATCTAACACGCTCACGCACGCTTGCTGGAAGTCCAAGCCCCTTACCCACAAAACCTCCTTTACCCCCTCTCTCCAACCCTTTCGAGGACGACCCCTACCCCGCCTTCCTTCCCCTATAGATTTATATGCTTTCCATGTCATTCTACTTTGATCCATTCTCTCTAAATGACCAAACCACCTCAACAACCCCTCTTCTGCCCTCTGACTAATACTTTTATTAACTCAAAACACCTTCTCCTAATTTCCACACTCCGAATTTTCTGCATAATATTTACACCACACATTGCCCTTAAACAGGACATCTCCATCTGCCTCCAACCGTCTCCCCCCCCCCCCCCCCCCCCCCCCCCCCCCCCCCCCCCCCCCCCCCCCCCCCCCCCCCCCCCCCCCCCCCCCCTCGTCTGATTTACACCCAAGCTTCACACCATATAAGATGATTGGTACTACATATTTCATACATCCTTCTTATGCTCATAGATAACGTTTTTGACTCTATACCTCAACGCACCTCAACTTTTTTCCCTTCATCAATTCTATGATTAACCTATCTTCATAAATCCAATCCGCCGACCGTCATCCAAGTATCTAAAACATTACTTTTCCATACTCTCCAATTGATATCCAATTTTTTTATTAATCATTTGGCACCCAACCTTACTTTTTCTATGTTCACTTTCAACTTTTACCTTTACACACATTCAAACTCATCATAACCTTGCAATTTTTTTTGATCCCCAAAGACAGTATCATCAGAAAAAGACTGTGTCAATCCATTTTGAATTTATTCCTAATTTACCCACCCGTCCAAACACTAGCATTACTTCTTACAACCCCATCTACAATATATTAAACAACATGTGACATTAACATCCTGTCTAAGGCTTTTTACGGGAAGTAGTCTCCTTTTTACACCCTACTGAGCCTCACTATCCTCATAAAATCTTTACAGCATTTAATAACTTACCACTTTCCATTTTACTTGCAAATCTGCACATTGATCTCTATCACTTATCATAGCCTTTCTAATATAAATGCAATTAAAAACTTCCCTATCTTATCTAAATAGTGGTTCACATATATGCTGTCACATGGTAAAACCTGATCTACACATCCCCTACCCACTTATTAACTCCTTGCTCATCGCAATTCCTACATTTCATTCTTCACTCTAATTTTTATTTAACCCTACGTAACTTTGGTATACTGTATGCTTATTCCTCTATAATTTTTACATCTCTTTTGTCCTTTCCCTTTATATAAGGGCTATAATGCTTCTGCCAATCCTGGTACCTTCCCCTCTTTAATACATTTATAACAAAAGTACCAACCACTCAAACTATATTCCACTGCTTAACATCCTGTCATGATCATCAGTCAGGTGCTTTACCCCCTTTCATTTTATGTAATGCCTCACGTACCTCCCCCACACTTACATTCTGCTCTTCTTCACTCCTAAAAGATGGTATACCTCCCTGACCAGTGCATGAAATTACTGCCATTTGGATTTTAGGGTATGAAATTAATTTCCCCATTTAAAACATTGCACACATATGAAAGAATTGTGTGACTGGTGACGGCTCTTCCTGAAATAATTAGGTTGTAGGTGTAAAGGTTGCCTGTGCAGTACAGTACATACTGTATAGTACGTATACCTATTTCATTGAGGTCATTATAAAGGGATTTTTATTTACATCTTTGTTTGATGTTTCTTCCAGTTGTATAGTGGCCTTGCCAAACATGCCAAATAAATGAATTCTGCATGGTAGTTAAAATTAGTGTATTGCATTGTGATAGTGTATATGTAGTACAGTCTCCGTGGGGAAGAGGAGAAGAACCCTTCCTCCATAAGGCATTCATGTTGTAAGAGGTGACTATAATGTCAGAGGAAGGGACCAATAACCACTTCTGTATAAATTACTAAATGTAAAAAGAAGAAAAACTTGCATTTCTTCTTTTTCAGGTCCCCTTGCCTTGGTGGGAGACGACTAGTTTGTTAACAAAAAAAAAAAAATGTATTACAGTACAGTACAGAATTTCCTTTAGAAATACTGTACTGTAGTTTCTAGTGTTTCATGTACTGTTTGGTGCTCTTACTCTTGGTTTCTGGTCATTAGCTTCTTAAAAGCTCTTCTGCTATACTACACTTTCAAATTTTCATGACATTGAGGGGTATTTGTCTGTAAAGTCAAAACACTGACATGTAACATCTTCGGCAAATTTACTACTCACATTTCTCAGAAATTAAACATATGTGGACTTGTCTCAGCTGAAATGGCTGGGCCTGAAATCTTTCAAATTATTCATGGTCCAATTTATTATTTCATTTCATGTTTAAGAATTCTAGGTAGTAGGTTGGTAGACAGCAGCCGCCCAGGGAGGTACTACCGTCCTGCCAAGTGAGTGTAAAACAAAAGCCTGTAATTGTTTTACGTGATGGTAGGATTGCTGGTGTCCATTTTTCTGTCTCATAAACATGCAAGGTTTCAGGTACATCTTGCTACTTCTACTTACACTTAGGTCACACTACATATACATGTACAAGCATATATATACACACACCCCTCTGGGTTTTCTTCTATTTTCTTACTAGTTCTTGTTCTTGTTTATTTCCTCTTACCTCCATGGGGAAGTGGAACAGAATTCTTCCTCCGTAAGCCATGCGTGTTGTAAGAGGCAACTAAAATGCCGGGAACAAGGGGCTAGTAACCCCTTCTCCTGTATATATTACTAAATGTAAAAGGAGAAACTTTCATTTTTCCTTTTGGGCCACCCCGCCTCTGTGGGATACGGCCTGTGTGTTGAAAGAAAGAAAGATGTTTGAGAATTTTATTTTTAAACTGTGACAACTTCCACAATTGGTTTGTTGTTAATTTTTCTTTAATCATAACTTTGTTTAATAAAATCTCCCAGTTTTTGGCATATGTGTATGGAATTTCAAACAGGTAATAATTATGAAGAAATGATGTAAGTATAGTATAATTAGCTTATTCTGCAACAGTAATGTTTTAATATTATGTCCATTACAACCTCTCCTCACATAGCGACATATTCGTTTACTGACAACTCAAACTTATGACAGGCTCTCTGACCAGTATGCATACCTAAATAATGTATATTAGAGCTGATTTCCTCTATTCTGTTTAATGCAATATGCAGTACACTACTGTATAAACATTCAAAAATACCAGAAATGTTACAAATGGTACAAAGGTGACATTAAAACAATATCAAAGATAGTTGACACAAACCTCCTACCATTATAGTAGTATGCTCCTCACTTAGCGATGAATTCATTTACCGACATGGTCTTAGGAATGGAACTCCACCATCAAGTGAGGAGAGGCGCTGTATTTCATTGCAAAAAAAAATTTTTTCTCGGGTGAGATATAAGCGATTATTGGCAGAAAGGTGGGCTAGTGCAAAGATGAGTAGTGGGGGGGTTGAAGAGGGTTGGAATAGTTTTAAAAATGCAGTATTAGAATGTGGGGCAGAAGTTTGTGGTTATAGGAGGGTGGGGGCAGGAGGAAAGAGGAGTGATTGGTGGAATGATGAAGTAAAGGGTGTGATAAAAGAGAAAAAGGTAGCTTATGAGAGGTTTTTACAAAGCAGAAGTGTTATAAGAAGAGCAGAGTATATGGAGAGTAAAAGAAAGGTAAAGAGAGTGGTGAGAGAGTGCAAAAGGAGAGCAGATGATAGAGTGGGAGAGGCACTGTCAAGAAATTTTAATGAAAATAAGAAAAAATTTTGGAGTGAGTTAAACAAGTTAAGAAAGCCTAGGGAAAATATGGATTTGTCAGTTAAAAACAGAGTAGGGGAGTTAGATGGGGAGATGGAGGTATTGGGTAGATGGCAAGAATATTTTGAGGAACTTTTAAATGTTAAGGAAGAAACAGAGGCAGTAATTTCATGCACTGGTCAGGGAGGTATACCATCTTTTAGGAGTGAAGAAGAGCAGAATGTAAGTGTGGGGGAGGTACGTGAGGCATTACGTAAAATGAAAGGGGGTTAAAGAGCTGGAACTGATGGATCATGACAGAAATGTTAAAAGCAGGGGGGGGATATAGTGTTGGAGTGGTTGGTACTTTTGTTTAATAAATGTATGAAAGAGGGGAAGGTACCTAGGGATTGGCAGAGAGCATGTATAGTCCCTTTATATAAAGGGAAAGGGGACAAAAGAGACTGTAAAAATTATAGAGGAATAAGCTTAACTGAGTTATACCAGGAAAAGTGTACGGTAGGGTTATAATTGAAAGAATTAGAGGTAAGACAGAATGTAGATTGCGGATGAGCAAGGAGGTTTTAGAGTGGGTAGGGGATGTGTAGATCAGGTGTTTACATTGAAGCATATATGTGAACAGTATTTAGATAAAGATAGGGAAGTTTTTATTGCATTTATGGATTTAGAAAAGGCATATGATAGAGTGGTTAGAGGGCAATGTGGCAGATATTGCAAGTATATGGAATAGGTGGTAAGTTATTAAATGCTGTAAAGAGTTTTTATGAGGATAGTGAGGCTCAGGTTAGGGTGTGTAGAAGAGAGGGAGACTACTTCCCGGTAAAAGTAGGTCTTAGACAGGGGTGTGTAATGTCACCATGGTTGTTTAATATATTTATAGATGGGGTTGTAAAGGAAGTAAATGCTAGGGTGTTTGGGAGAGGGGTGGGATTAAATTATGGGGAATCAAATTCAAAAAGGGAATTGACACAGTTACTTTTTGCTGATGATACTGTGCTTATGGGAGATTCTAAAGAAAAATTGCAAAGGTTAGTGGATGAGTTTGGGAAAGTGTGTAAAGGTAGAAAGTTGAAAGTGAACATAGAAAAGAGTAAGGTGATGAGGGTGTCAAATGATTTAGATAAAGAAAAATTGGATATCAAATTGGGGAGGAGGAGTATGGAAGAAGTGAATGTTTTCAGATACTTGGGAGTTGACGTGTCGGCGGATGGATTTATGAAGGATGAGGTTAATCATAGAATTGATGAGGGAAAAAAGGTGAGTGGTGCGCTGAGGTATATGTGGAGTCAAAAAACGTTATCTATGGAGGCAAAGAAGGGAATGTATGAAAGTATAGTAGTACCAACACTCTTATATGGGTGTGAAGCTTGGGTGGTAAATGCAGCAGCGAGGAGACGGTTGGAGGCAGTGGAGATGTCCTGTTTAAGGGCAATGTGTGGTGTAAATATTATGCAGAAAATTCGGAGTGTGGAATTAGGAGAAGGTGTGGAGTTAATAAAAGTATTAGTCAGAGGGCAGAAGAGGGGTTGTTAGGTGGTTTGGTCATTTAGAGAGAATGGATCAAAGTAGAATGACATGGAAAGCATATAAATCTATAGGGAAGGAAGGCGGGGTAGGGGTCGTCCTCGAAAGGGTTGGAGAGAGGGGGTAAAGGAGGTTTTGTGGGTAAGGGGCTTGGACTTCCAGCAAGCGTGCGTGAGCGTGTTAGATAGGAGTGAATGGAGACGAATGGTACTTGGGACCTGACGATCTGTTGGAGTGTGAGCAGGGTAATATTTAGTGAAGGGATTCAGGGAAACCGGTTATTTTCATATAGTCGGACTTGAGTCCTGGAAATGGGAAGTACAATGCCTGCACTTTAAAGGAGGGGTTTGGGATATTGGCAGTTTGGAGGGATATGTTGTTTTATCTTTATATGTGTATGCTTCTAGACTGTTGTATTCTGAGCACCTCTGCAAAAACAGTGATAATGTGCGAGTGTGGTGAAAGTGTTGAATGATGATGAAAGTATTTTCTTTTTGGGGATTTTCTTTCTTTTTTGGGTCACCCTGCCTCGGTGGGAGACGGCCGACTTGTTGAAAAAAAAAAAAAAAAAATTAATTATTCTTTCCAAATGTTGTGTTTAGGAATATAATTCATTACGTTTTTAATTTGGTTTTCAGGCAAAATCATAAATTGGCTCTTGGAGGTGGTGTTGCTGATAGTGTGCATACTGGCAAGAATACTTCGTTTAGCCAGAGTAGTTTTGGTATTGCGATATGTGGACCAAATGTAATGGCGGCTTCAGTCGTTATACCAAAATACATTAATAACCCCAAGGGTTTGGATGACTTTATGAAAGAGGTAAGTTCATGTCTGTTATTTGTTGATAAAATATTTCTTGTGATGTAAATGGTTTATAAAACCGACAAGTTGAAGAATGAGACACTGTTGCAACATTTGGGACTCTTTGTTGAGGAAATGCTTTGCCAGCCAGTGACTTCTTCAGTCCATTACTGAGAAGAACTGTGTGTCATTCTTCAAAATATTTAATGATTTCTGATTTTGTGGGAATAGTTTATAAAGGCAGTAAAGTAGATGAGAAGCACCAGATGGACAAATTAGTTTTTTTTATGGAAAGTTAAAACTAAAAATTACAGTCAATTTTTTAATGTTAACACCCTTCATGTTAATAATTTATCAGTATAAATATTCAGTTATTTTAAAAATATATTAGTTACGATGTCTTGTGACCAGGGTTTCCATAGGTCAGAAGATGGTGGCATTGCACAGTACTGTAGTTGCATTTGAGATGACCCTTTTACATAGCATGTGGGACAGAAATAGAGCCATTACTTATTTTATTTAAGTATCAGTACTGTATTATCAAGTCTTAATAAAGGTTACATTCTGGTGAAACATTGTCTCTCATAGGCTCTTTCTCGGTAGTTTGTCTTGTTTTTCTAAGACTAAAGCTGTAAGTTTAATTATATTGTACTGTACATAGTTAAATACATGCCAAATGTGTACATGGTTATATTGTATTAGAATAACAGGTTATTGGTAACAAGAATATACTGGCTATTTATGTACAGTACTGTAGTACTAGTAGAACTACTTGATACTTGAATATATTCCAGAAAATTATTGTATGAGTGTATTTACTTAAGAATAAAACTTTCAGTATTAATTGTGATGTTACAGAACTTTGAATTATTTTTGTATATATATATATATGTATAGTATACTAATGCATACAGATACTTTTCTTAATTTGTGCGGTTACTTTGTGCAGATGGTGAAATTTTGATACAGAGTGTTTTTTCCCACATGGGAGGCCTAACGAAAATGGTAAAATATTGTACATGAGCCATTTTTTGGGAAATTGCAGCGGGGTAGGGGACTTGCAAAAGTATATTGCATGTGTGAGCTTGAAACTCAGGGATACATAAGAATGCAATAGGTTGCTGAGTGCATGCGGGTGCCCTTGACATCTTCATTATGGGAAGATTAAACAATTTTGCAAAAATTTAAATTTAAATTGAATCCCATTAACACCATAGACATTAATTCTTGTTTTTTTTTTTATTTTTTTAAAGGTGAAAATGCTAATTGGGAACATACATTCCAATTTTTTTTTTTCAGTGCTGCAGTACTGAAAAAATTTTAAAAGCAAAACACCATTACTGAACAAGACAAATAACTGCACATGGAAGAAGAAATTATGATTTTTTGGTAAACTTGTTAATGGTGTGATATTTAAATGGTCATTTTTCAGATGAAATGTAATCATAATTTTATTTCTGTGTGGGGGTTGGGTTTTTATGTTTTGAAGTTGTATTTTTTTTGAGTTAAAAAAACAGAAAAAATCAAAAAAAAAAAAAAATTAGCCTTTTTTTTCTTTGGGTTTTTTTTGATGGGAAGGAAACTTAAATCACGCCCACACCCCCAATATAATAATACTTTTAAAATTTTTGTGTGGTCCCTATCTTGATTCACTGTAGGTCAGAAAAAAACACCTGTAGCTGATAATTAAACCCCTTTTTACTACACATTGATAGTTGGCCCCTACTCTTCAGGGGGGAGGGCAAGCTGAAATCACAGCGAAGCTTCCAAGTGGACCTTAGTCAAGCATTATAGTAGCTGAATGGTAGGAGTGGGGCCTGCAAGTGTTGCAGTTGCATCAGTAAGCATCGTGTCCCCTGTGAAAAGAAAAAAATGACAAGGTAATAGACGGGGGTTTGTAACAGGTTTTAAATAAAACATAAGGAGGGAACATTGCAGGAGGCCTGCGGGCCCCATGCTAGGAAGTCTAATTACACCCCCCCAAACCCATCATGACTTTCTTCTTTCAACAAAATAGCTGTATCCCAAAAAGGCAGGGTACCCCAAAAAGACAAATGAAAGTTTCTCTTTTAAATTTAGTATAATACAGGAAAAGGGGTTACTCCCCCTTTTGCTCCAGCATTTTTGTTGCCCCTAAACAGCATGACTCATGGGAAGATTACTTTTCCCCTTTCCCCCATGGAGTAAGAGGAAATAAACAAGAAAAAGAAAAGTAAGAAAATAGAAGAAAACCCGAGGGGTTGTTTTATTAGTTTGTACATACCTAAAATTTTGTATTTCATGAGACAGTAAAGATGCCAGCAATCCTACCATCCTGTAAAACAATTACAGGTTTCTGTTTTGCACTCACTTGGGAGGACAGTAGTACCTCCCTGTGTGGTTGCTGTCTATCAACCTACTACCAACACTCATGTACTTATCTAACCTTTTTTAAAGCTATGAAAGGTTTTTGTTTTAGTGACGCTACTAAGAGTTTTTTCCCACTCTTCCAAATTTAATACATTCATCAGGGTCTAGGGATTTGTTTGACTTTATCTACCTATTTGTTTGAGAACCATATCACTATTGACTTCGGTTGTGCATAACTTATTTTTGTCTTGACCTATATAATTTATGATTTATCAAATTTCTCTAGTATCTTCCTGCATAAAAACTGAAGAAAAAAGTGTTGAAGGTTTTTCATATTTTCCCTTTTATGATGGTAAGCTGCCAGGCAGCTTTTAGTGGGCCTGTTTGTCCCCAATATATTCTTGTATTTTTTTTTATTTTATTATCACACTGGCCGATACCCACCAAGGCAGGGTGGCCCGAAAAAGAAAAACTTTCACCATCATTCACTCCATCATGTCTTGCAGAAGGGTGCTTTACATACAGTTTTTAAACTGCAACATTAAAACCCGTCCCTTTAGAAGCATGTACTTCCTCTCCCGGATAAGTCCGGCCCGCCCGGGTTTTCCCTGAACCCTTCATAAATGTTACTTTGTCACACTCCAACGCACATCAAGTATAAAAAAACCCTTTGTCTCCATTCCTCCCATCAAACCGCTCATGCATGCCCCGCTGGAAATCCAAGCCCCCCACACACAAAACCCCCTTTACCCCCCCCTCCAACCTTTCCCGGCCCACCCCTCCCCGCCTTTTTTCCCTACAGACTGATACCTCTTGAAATATTCTGTTTCGCTCCATTCTCTCTCATGTCCCAACCACCTCAACAACCCTTCCTCGCCCCCTGGAAACAGTTTTTTGGGATCCCCCCTTCCTAATTCCCAAAAAACGAATTCTTGCATTTTATTCACACCCAAAATTGCCTAAGAAAAAACATCTCCACTGCTCCCGCCCTTTTCCTCGCTCAAACATTTATACCATGCTTCCCCTATAAGGCGATTTGGGGGATGATGATGTAAAGGAGTGTAAGGGGGGAAAAAATTAGCTATGAGAAGTTTTTTCAAGTAGAAGGAGCAAGGAGGGAAAAAGGGGGGTATATGGAGAAAAAAGAGAGAGGTTAAGGAGGGGTGAAAAATGAAAAAGGAGCAAATGGAAAAGTGGGTGAGATGTTATCAAAAATTTTGTTGAAAATAAGAAAAAAGTTTTGGAGTGAGATTAACAAGTTAAGGAAGCCTAGAGAACAAATGGATTTGTCAGTTAAAAATAGGAGGGGAGTTTTTAAATGGAGAGTTAGAGGTATTGGGGAAATGGGGGGGATTTTTGAGGAATGTTAAATGTTGATGAAAATAGGGAAACGTGATTTGTGTATAGGGCAAGAAGGGGTAACTTTTTAGGGGGGAAAAAAAGGTTGTAAAAATATGGGGAAGTTCATGAGGCAGTGGGGAAAAAAGAAAAGGGGTAAGGGCCGGGGGTTTATGGATAAAAGAAATGTTTTTAAAGCAGGTGGGGATATAGTTTTGGGGGTGGTTGGGCAATTATTTAATAAATGTATGGAAGAGGGTAAGGTACTGGGGTGGGAAGGCATGCATGTCCCTTTTTTATAAACAAAGGGGACAAAAAGGAGTGCAAAAATTATAGGGGGTAAGGGTTTGTGAGTTACCCGGTAAATGTTGGTAGTTATTATGAAAGAAATTTGGTAAGATGGAGATAGGATAGCAAAATGAAAAGGAGGCTTTGGAAAGTATGGGGGTGTGTGGACCCGGTGTTTTCAGTTAAAAATTAGTGAACAGTTTTAGACAAGGGAAAGGGTCTTTGGGCATTTTGGATTTGGAAAAAGGGGTATGCAGGGTGGATAGGGGGGCAATGTGGGGAGATGTTGCAGGTTTTTTGGTTGAGGAGGTAGGTTATGAAAACAGTGAAAAGTTTTTATGGGATTTGGGGGCTCAAGTTAGAGTATGTGGGAAAAAGGGAAATTATTTCCCCGTAAAAGTAGGCCTTAGACAAGGATGTGTGGTGTCACTGTGGTTGTTTAATATATTTATAGATGGGGTTGTAAGAGAAGTAAATGTGAGGGTCTTGGCAAGAGGTGTGGAGTTAAAAGATAAAGAATCACACATAAAGTGGGAGTTGTCACAGTTGCTCTTTGCTGATGACACTGTGCTCTTGGGAGATTCTGAGGAGAAGTTGCAGAGATTGGTGGATGAATTTGGTAGGGTATGCAAAAGAAGAAAATTAAAAGTGAATACAGGAAAGAGTAAGGTTGAGGATAACAAAAAGATTAGGTGATGAAAGATTGGATATCAGATTGGAGGGAGAGAGTATGGAGGAGGTGAATGTATTCAGATATTTGGGAGTGGACGTGTCAGCGGATGGGTCTATGAAAGATGAGGTGAATCATAGAATTGATGAGGGGAAAAGGGTGAGTGATGCACTTAGGAGTCTGTGGAGACAAAGAACTTTGTCCTTGAAGGCAAAGAGGGGAATGTATGAGAGTATAGTTTTACCAACACTCTTATATGGGTGTGAAGCATGGGTGATGAATGTTGCAGCGAGGAGAAGGTTGGAGGCAGTGGAGATGTCATGTCTGAGGGCAATGTGTGGTGTGAATATAATGCAGAGAATTTGTAGTTTGGAAGTTAGGAGGAGGTGCGGGATTACCAAAACTGTTGTTCAGAGGGCTGAGGAAGGGTTGTTGAGGTGGTTCGGACATGTAGAGAGAATGGAGCAAAACAGAATGACTTCAAGAGTGTATCGTCTGTAGTGGAAGGAAGGGGGGTAGGGGTCGGCCTAGGAAAGGTTGGAGGGAGGGGGTAAAGGAGGTTTTGTGTGCAAGGGGCTTGGACTTCCAGCAGGCATGCGTGAGTGTGTTTGATAGGAGTGAATGGAGACAAATGGTTTTTAATACTTGATGTGCTGTTGGAGTGTGAGCAAAGTAACATTTATGAAGGGGTTTAGGGAAACCGGCAGGCCGGACTTGAGTCCTGGAGATGGGAAGTACAGTGCCTGCACTCTGAAGGAGGGGTGTTAATGTTGCAGTTTAAAAACTGTAGTGTAAAGCACCCTTCTGGCAAGACAGTGATGGAGTGAATGATGGTGAAAGTTTTTCTTTTTCGGGCCACCCTGCCTTGGTGGGAATCGGCCAGTGTGATAATAAAAAAAAAATATATAAACACTGATATAGCAATGCTAAACCCAATGGTGTGTATAAAACTGATGTCATGCACCTCAAGGGTAGTACATGTATATGTATTCATAAAAACAATTAATGTACAATATATTTTTTCTTGTAAATGAAATGTATTTTCTTATTCAGTTGAAATCGTGTGGGCTTCCTGAAGACCAGAGTGTAGCATTTATGTTTTCCTGCTGTGGTCGTGGCTACTCTTGGTATCGTCGCCGAGGCAATCCTTGGTTTGATTACCATAGTGTGGAAACTAAAGCCTTCAGACAATTCTTCCCTAATACACCGATCTTTGGCTTCTTTGGTGGAGGAGAGATAGGTTTGAATCACTTTCCAAAGTTTTGTGAGAGAGAGCAAGAAGATGAAAGAGTTCTACACAAGAAAAGAAAAAAGAAAATGTTTCATCAGTTTTCAACCATCATTGTCTTTTTGTCATTTTTGTGATGTAATTTAATGCATGTAGTAATCGTAACATATGATTATCACTGTGGGTGTCCTCCTTCATATACATATAAATTTATCATCATTTTTGAACATGTAAATTTTATAGTTATTATTTTAGTTGTGGTGAAGTACCCTTGTTACTTGAGTTTTTAAATGAATAGAACACTAAACATAGGTCTATTTTTAGCTGAACTGAAAATAGATCTGAAAGTAAAAAAACTGCCTATTTCTGCATAATTTAATACCTAATCAATCGTACAGCATGGTATATGTAAAATCCAGCAAAGTCATACAGTCATGCATCGCTTAATGACAAAGATACATTCTGAGAACTGCATCATTAGGCGATTTCGTCATGTGCAAACATCATAGAGATGTGTAAGACTGCTCCTGGCGTACTGTGTTACAATAAACTATTTTTTTATATATAGAAACAGTACACTCAAAGAGTAACGATAAAAAGTATAATATAGTAAATATATAAAGTAACATACAATAGTTGTTTATTATAAAGTACAGTGGACCCCCGCATAACGATTACCTCCGAATGTGACCAATTATGTAAGTGTATTTATGTAAGTGCGTTTGTACGTGTATGTTTGGGGGTCTGAAATGGACTAATCTACTTCACAATATTTCTTATGGGAACAAATTCGGTCAGTACTGGCACCTGAACATACTTCTGGAGTGAAAAAATATCGTTAACCGGGGGGTCCACTGTATTTCGTGGCTTATAAGACTTGTTTAAGTTTCAATGGCTCGGCATCGGACGTACGTAACCGGGAGAGCTACAGCCCACCCCACACCCAAACTTATAGGACGCAGGGTGGTTTTTGGAGACATTTATGAAAAAAAAAAATGGGTCTAATAAGATTCTAAATACAGTGTGTACCATACATAATTGTATGTGTTATGCTTTTATACGACTGGCAGCACATGGGACCACTGTCATATACACAGTCCATCATTGACCAAAATATTGTTATGCGGGACATGACTGTAATACTAAATTATGAAACGTTTCTGCTGTACACAAGGTATATAATGTAATGCTAGAATGTGATTAGAGATGTGTTAGAGGATGCTATTTATTGCCTGTCTCATTGTTGCTTTCAAAGAATGAAGGATTGTCTCATTTTTAATTTTTTTTATCCAGTTGTATTAATTAATGCTTTGTTATAAGCTTGTCATTGAAAACCTAACTGATATTGTTCACCATTAATTTTGTTCCAGTTCCTTATATCCAGAAGTCTTTAACATCCCATTGAAGAGATGGGTGAATTATTGTAGTTATGGGTGAATGGTAAACCTACATGGCTCATAAGAACATAAGAAAGGATGAACACTGCAGCTTGGCCTGTTGGCCCAAACTAGCAGTCCTTTAATCAGCCCACTAACAAAACAATATGCCCAACCCATTTTCAAAATCAACCCCAGAAATAAGCTCTGATGTGCAAGTCCCACACAAATCCAACCCCTCCAACTCATTACTTATCCCACCTAAATTTGGAAACTACCCAAAGTCCAAGCCTCAAATAACCTAACTAGTAGAACTGTTTCCACTCATCACAACCCTATTTCCAACCAATACTTCCCCTATGTCCTTTTCTAATCTAAACTTATCTATTATTAACGGCTAATTTACCCCTTTCAGGGTGGTCCAGGCCAAAATCTGAAGTGGAGCTCCAAGTTCCCAAGAATTTTGAAAAAAAAAAATTATTTTTTCTTACAGAATTAAAGAGCATATTTTTTGTGAAGGTAATAAGACATAAAAAAAAGATCTGATCAGTATTACGAGAAACATTGCCAAGATTTGTCAAAATGATGTGTGGCGGCAAACCATCGACGAATTCCACATACGCGCATTACATATGTTGTGTTTAGTTGTTATTTCTTTATCTTTTCCAATTTTTTTTCTATTCCTACTAACATTTGGGGCAAGAGACCAAACTGTATATAATGTATATATAAAACTCACGTAGTGAACTCAATAACGCACTAAAGATATCATATTATTGTTTACCCCACAGTTTGTATATTACAATAAACATCAACAAATATTGTATAAATACTAATGTTCTATCATATATTTACATCTTTTACAATCACCTGACATGTTTAAAAAACTGCTGAGCTTGTGAACTCCTTGAAACCAAGGCACCATGCACAGAGGCACCTTACATACCTCACACATAACCGAGTCTTGTCTTTGCGTCTTTGGTTCCGTCGTTTTGTTTGTGCACAGACAATGCAATCACTTCTGAGCAAATTTCTTTCTTAGTAGAAGGAAGCTGTAATATGAAATGAAAAATCACCTTCTCTCCTCAAACGCTTGGGTATATCCTGAGGAATTCGAGACCAAGTTGTCAATACAGATTGTTGTTACCTGGTAATTCATAGAGTGTCTGACAACAACAAACAAAATTCACCATAAACGGTGGTCTGTTGCCAGTCTTATTTGGTACATATTATATGCATTGAGCATTGAAAATTTCCATGAAGATGGAAGAAAAGTTTCATGTACCACTTTAACTCTTACGAACACGTCAACAATACCATTCTGCCTGTCAACAACTTGTCAACCACGCGCATGTTTTGTGTATAATCAATCACTGACACCTGGTTTACGAATACGTTCATTAGTCACTCGACACTTTGCCACTGTCCTTGCATTTCATTACGTTAATGGGTTGTCAACAATGTGACATCTCGTTTGTCATGCCACCGTAAATGCCATGGATGTCAATGGCAGTAAACACCTGCACGTCATCACCAACGAGCACCTGCGTTGACCCCTGGGCATATGTTTTATGATTATAACGCACTGTGCCAAATCACATCTGTCTTGTTCAACTCATCAGAAATCACTGAGTAAAGGTCTTGTGTACCAGATATCGTTATATAATGTATGCCCCTAACAAGAAAGGTGCCACATGTTCTCACTACGTCACCTGAGAATACCCCAATAACATCTTGTAATCTTTCAATGTTTTACTACCCTTGTATACAACCATATCCAACACCAGGCCACTGTCACAATCACAGAGTACAAACAGTTTTATTACCAAAGCGATTCCTCTTGCTCGTATAAGACGCTTGAAGACAGTCTAACCTTTGAACAAAATCAAAGACTCGTCAATTACACATTCTTGAATGGATAAAATGTATATGCTGAACTTTTGTTTGATCTACATGAAAACATTTCTAATACTTGTATAACCTGTCACTCTGTCAGCCCTGGTTTTGTGCAGAGAAGTGCAAACATACGTAAGAGTAAGAAACCTTTCACTGGTATGAATTCACTGAAGACCGGGGTAAAATTAGCCGATCTGTTACCATATCTTTTATATTATCCTTATAGAACGTGAGGCCTAAGCAATTTATTGTTGCAACAAAGCAAATACATTTCTGCAACAGAGACTCTCTTTCCACACTGTGTATCTGACTTGTTGATGATAGAGATCTATTTGCCATGTGTACTCAAAATATCTTATTACCTTCCCTGCACAATAATTCCAACAATGGCTGGTCAAATAATAAATTCAAAAATTCCAGTTCATGGCCGTGGTTTCCAATGGGACAGTAGTAGAATTCCACTTTGAGATCAATCAAAAGTGGTGAGGCTTGGGAACAACATGGTATTTTTTTGCTCAATCCCCCATACGGTTTGGCTGGTTGATACTGGACACTGACATCATAACTGGTTGTGCGGGTGGTTTTGGTTTGTGGTGGGCTGACTGGCCGCTCCGCATTGTCCTTGACTGACAAGTCATCAGCGAGGGCCCAGCATGGCCTCGAGAGTCACCATGGCGGGCACTCTACCATCACCACCTAACACCATCCACTGATGCCTGGTGGTCCTATCCATGCAATTGTAGCCAAATCACCTCACCTATCACTCCCTAAAACTGGTGTGGGGGGGGCCACGTGATGTACTTCCGGGATGTACTCACCGTCCCCTGGGCACGGCATAGGTACACTACCCGAGTGCATGCGTGGCGGCGACATACTGACACTTCACTGTGAATATGATTCCTCGCTAACACTACTCGATTGATCGTCGAGCGCAATAAAATCACAGTCCACGTCACTAACATCATCATAACTGAATCAGAGTGCCTGGCCATGCGAAAATATTAGTTATCCTCTGCTGATGAGGAAACAACCGACCGAGAGTCACGAGTGCCCACACCAGAGGTAGAAGGTTGAGGATCGTCAGGGTTTCTAGCACTAATTATTATTCCTGGTCATTCTTTTCGGACACTAATTGATCAAAGCCATAGAATTCCTCTTCATTTCCATTACACTTCCATCATGTCAGAACTAGCAGATAGGTAAGAGGAGAGATCCAATTTTCCGGATGAGAGCTGACTTGGCGCGACGAGGCATTGTGAAACAAGGGTAATGAGCCCTCGTTCCCACAATGCTATGCGGGCGCCTAGATTTTTTGTTTATGGCGCACACCCACCACGCAGACCCGTTCTCTCACATGTAGGCCTATGAGTGTTTTCGCGCTAAATTTGACGGCGCTAGAATTTTGGCATTGATCTACGGTTTGGACACCAACGTTAAGCCGATGATCAACGGACGGACCCTGAAAGGGTTAAATCCATTACTGCAGGCTCTCTCTTGGAGAGATATCCTCAAGACCTTATTAATATCCCCTTTATTAATACCCGTCTTCCACTTATACACTTCGATCAGGTCTCCCCTCATTCTTCGTCTAACAAGTGATGTAACTTCAGGAAGTCTTCAATCTATCTTTCATAAGGAAGAATTCAAAAGCAGTGTATTAATGTAATCATTCATACGCTGAATGTCTTACTAATACTAACGAATTTATATCCAATCTGTAATATGGAGACAAAATTGAGCTGCATAATCTATGTGCGGCCTTTACTAATAATGAAATAAAGCTGCAGTATGACCTCTGAACTTCTGTTTGCTTACACTTCCTTGGATATAAAATCCCCTAATATCTATTTGCCTATTAAAAATAAAAAACGTACGCTTAGGACCTGCTGTCTTGGTTTAAGGTTGCTTCTCACCATGACCCCCAAGTCCTTTTTGCAATCTGTATGGCTAAGTTCTACATTAACTTATAAGTGCTAGGGTTATGAGCACCTGAAGTATGGGAGATAATCAGGTTGAGTGAAGAAGAGGTGTAGCTCTGTATCTTGGATCAGGAGGCCTTCTTGTGGTTACTGTAACTACTTAAGCAATACAGCAAGTCACATTTGACTCTTTCATTAATGGTATACAGTATTGCACATTTACGGTATTTACCAGAATGGAGGATACCTCTAAAGGCTTTTGAGTTTTCCTACTCTCGCAGCTTTACCACGGACTGGAGTCCACTCCATAGCAGTGACGCTGCTGGTGTATTGCAGTCTGGTCAAGAACTGTCAGTCGATGAAAAGACATGTGCAACACACCTTTAGTTTCTTTACCAATGAGTTGTTTCACCAGTAAGGATATTCAAAAGTCGCATTTATCGTATTTATCAACTATTTTTTTTTTCCCCAACGAACCGGCTGTATCCTACTGAGGCAGGGTGACCTAAAAAGAAAAATGAAAAGTTTCTCATTTTAAATTTAGTAATAGTCGGTATGTATACCAATAATGTAATGATGCTGTCCATCAGCTGCCGAATGAATTTTTGCAGCTGACTCAGTATATCCATAAGCAGCACTCTATGACCCATGATGGTTTAATGCTTAGTTTTGATTGTAATAATAATATATTCATAAGGATTTTTTACTGCATATACATAAAGGGAGAGTGCTAAAACTAGAGTCTACAGTGCATGGGGAATAGGAGGTAATCAAGAGTGATCCAAAGATGGGGATTATTATAATAATAATCAAGGGGGGGAGCATTAAACCCATAGGATTATACAGCTCCTGTAGCCCCCACAGGCTTTAATTCAGGGAACTGGAGCACAGATCCAATTCCCTAGATCAAGAGCCCCTCACCAGCATCAAGGGACCTTCCTTGAGGGGCCAAGTTCCACTTGGATAGAGCCTTCCTTCACTGGTATAAAAGCACCCTCTTAAATTCATGTTTTTTATATATTTCATGAGTGGAGCATTAAACCCACAAGGGTCATACAATGCACTTGGGGAATGGGACTTAA